ATCCCCCCCCCCCAGTGTAGACCTAGCCTAAAAATAAAGCAATATTGATGAGCGTATTTCTTTAAGAAGCTGCTGTGTAGCTAGACCATAGTCTAAGTCCGCTGTGATGTGGCGATTGCTATGTTTCTTCCTGTTTTTTAATGATTAGTAGAATAAGTGGACATGTGTAATTGTGTCTTGGCTCTCTAGACCCTCTGTTAAATATTTTGTTTCTAATTTGGTTTGTATTTTTAGCTAATTCTGCCTCATTGCTACATACATGAGAAGAGAGCTATAAGAAAAAGTTAATTTTATGCAGTATTGTGTAGAATTATAATCTGAAGGATATGCACACATTTCGGTGCCTGTATTAAAATATCTGAAAGAATAAGAGTTGATATCATCTCTATTATAAACTGTCCTGAAGGTAGACACTTGGATCACTTAATATGATTTGATCACAATATGCAAAATATATGCAAACCAGCTGCTCAGCCTATTAATGATACATTCAAGAACATTCACTGTTCTAGTCCTGGAAATGTCAGATTCACTTGTAAATGTTCCTAATCAGGAGCAAGGAGAACAGGATGTGAAATAGCAGCCTGGTACACTAGCTCTACACCCACTGGGAAGATGTAACTAGTTTCTAGCCACTTAAAACTGTTGGAGCAGGCCGAAGAATCTGACCCAGTATTTTTTTAATTTAATATTTCTTTAAAATTTCTTTGAAAACTACTCCAGCACAAAACAGATATTGCGCCAGATTATTCTCCCACTTAAACCAGTGTTAATTGGGGTAATTCCTCAAAAGCCAATGGGGCTGAGTGGTGCAAAAAGGTGGAAAGCAGCTGGATTTGCCCAGCAGAGAACTCCTTGGTGTGTGGTAGCTCTCAACAGGTGCACAAGTAGTACAGCTGACTCATGTGATGCCCCCTCCGCTCAGCTGTGGTGCATGGTCATGACCCTTCAAGCCTTCCTTACTAAAAATTAGTAAGTGACTGCAGGAGTATAGAATCATATTTGTATCTAGTGCCTCATCTAGTGCCCCATTTTTCCATGGAGGGGCTATAGTTAATCTATATCTATGCTACCAGCCTATGCAGCCACATTCTGCAGTTCTCATATGAATAGTCACACTGAAGTCAAGGCTGGAGGACTGGGACTAGAATGTAAGGCAAAAAAAACAAAAAAACCCAGTGAAGATCCAATTCTACATAATTTAAATCAATGAGAGTTTTGCCATGACTTCACTTCAGCAAGTTTGGGCCCTACATGTGTAGACTAGAGTAAGAGACAGATTTCTGTTATAATGGATACATCTAAAAATGCTCTTTCTGTGTGACCACATGCAGTACATATGGATAGGTGTCATGAACATAATTACATGAAAAGAATAACCAGGAAAAAATCCCCCCTCAAATTCAATAATGTTGTAAATTTAATGTCTGTGGCTTTAGATTTACAATAGGCCTGAGTAATTAAATGAATGTGAGTCAGTTTTGCAGAAACTATTGCTGCTTGAATGAATAGTGCAAGCTATTAATATAGTTATTAATATTGTATTATTATAACATTAGTGTGGAACTAGAAAACACTTGCATCTTCATGGCAGTATACATAATGCCACTGCAGGAGAACAGACATGGATATATAATTGCTGAAAACACATCAATTTCTGCATTATGTTTTTGTTATGAGTATTGCTCTACAGAAGCCAATGTGACTAGTCACATGAGACTACTGATAATTAAACTGCTGATATTAGGCAGAATTCAGTTAGATGAAAACTACAGCTGTCAATCTGAAGTTCTCTGATACTATACTTTTCATAGATACATTCATATTAGCAATAACCCTACTGGAATTTATGTAGGTTATCAGATCTCTCAAAAAGTTTACAATTAATTTCAGGCACTTTCACATCATCATCCTTTAAGTTATGGATTAATTTTTGCCACCCTTACATTGAGTAGTGCCTCACACTGCTAGTGGTCCCACTGAAGTCAGTATGTGGCATACAGGGAACTTGGATTCCTGACACCTTTAGCTCTTCAGGGCAGCCTCTTGGCTTACGATTTTTCAAGTGGTGACTGTGAGAGGTAAGGATGGCTACATGTGGCCATATATTACATACAAAACAGAAACAAACAAACAATTTATTTATTGCTTAGGAATATAATATATATTTTGAATTCTTTGATGCTAGTTCACATTGTGAAAAATGTCTGCTAAACCTATGTTAATAAATATTAGTTTAGTTAACATAGTTATTTTGGTTCCTTTTTAAGTCTTCTTTTTGATATAAAACATCTCTAGCGGTTGTAGCTTGAATATAATGTGTTTTTTCTCATTAGTTTAATGGACATGCTGTTTAATTGCTTAGGAATATGATATACAAAGGAACTACAAATTAATGCCATTAATGCCATCATTAACAAATAATGATATAGAAAATTATCTCAGAATAGTGATTTCTAACTAATTATTATTTCCAAACCAAAGACCATTTCTCCTGGCCCCTGGGCTGTCCTTAGAGGGGTGCAGAGCCCGTGGCGGAAGTGATGAATCCATCACTTCCGGGACCGACCACACTGGCCAATTGTGATGGCCCGTGGGGTCTCCCAGAGCACGCCTAGGAGCCCTGCTGCTCATACGGGCGATTTAAAAGGGCCTGGGGTTCGTGGCCACCCTTTTAAATTGCCTGGGCCCCTGGGAAATTGTCCCCTTTCCCCCCCCATGTCAGTGGGCCTGGGGGGTGTATTTGCTTATGAATATGCAGCAACTAATATACCACTACTTCTGAAGTGTGGTTAAAGTATACATGAAAGCATTCACATGTTACAAAGTCCTTTTAACATCTTCACTGGTTCGACAACAAATACTTACCAAAGGCATCGCTTTCTTATTCATCTCAATTACCACTACAGCAGTTCTAGAGCTGAAGATGGTTCTGATGGGTATCTTCATCAGTGAAGTACTCAGCAGTGAACATGTTAATTTTAGGACCTGAAATCTCTGAAGTGCATAACACTCTCCGGGAAAATGTGTTTCTTTGTTTGTTTGTTTGCTGGGAACCCCACTAATTCAGTAAGGGATTTTATCTTTCCCTTTTTACACCTTCATTTGTCATTCTGTAATCTGACCTCTTTCCTTCACTGCCACTGATGGTGTCCTTTGAATGGCCAGTTCAAGAATAGTTTCTGACATGCAGTTTAAGTGAAAATAAGATGACAAGCTGTATTCACAGAATATGCCTGAAACCATATAGAGGATTAGGAATGTATCTGCAATTAAATGGTAAACAGTTGCCCTTTATTAGCTACATTAGTAATAAAAGATGATTTCACCACTAGCCCATGAAGATTATTGTCATTATCCTCACAGAGTAAAGACATAACCAACATTTTCAAACTTGGGTGCCTTAATTGTCCTTTATGCTAAAGCAATGGTCCCCAAACTGTGGAGTGCGCCCCCCTAGGGGGGCATAGAGGAGTGTTCTGGGGGTGAGGCAGGGCTAGGCCAAGCCCCACAGGGGGTGGAGAGGGAGCACCACCCAGCCCCACTCTGGACCCTGACCCAGCCATGGTCCTTGCTCTCAGCTACAGCTCCTGGCCACGGCCTCAACTCCAGGCGTGGTCCCACCCTCAGCCCCCGGCTCCTGGTCTGGCCATGGCTTGGGCCCCAGCCCCCCCCCCCACAGGAACTGCAGCCTTGCTCATGGCTCTGGATCCTGTCCGCAGCTTGGGGCAGGGAACGCGGAGAAGGGTGAGAGGGGCCATGACATGAAAAGTTGGGGAACACTGTGCTAAAGTATTGCTTCTGAATGTTGTTGAGACAGTAGCTGGCACAAAACAAGTTAGTTTCAGTGGTTCTTCGGGCACACCATTTCCATATCTTTGGATTTACTCAATTAATTGGGTAACTGATTCACTATGAGGTAGTCTGATGTGAATTAGAATTACTGAAATAACCGACGGATTGGTGTGTGGTTTCGTTTTTTCCCCCCTTCCTTCAACTGGAGAATGGTTCAATAAAGTAAGAGTGGCTGGTTTTACTGCTATAAATCATCCCTGGCTATCAAAATACAGCCTTTTATTAAAGGACCACCAATGCTAAGTGTGTTCCCGGACCACAGAACAGTTGTTTAAAGTTAAATAATCTTTTTGAATAAACTTCTCAGTCAAATTTGGATTAGGTTTGCCGTTCCTGGCCAATGGGAGCTGTGGAAAGTGGTGGCCCGGCCTGCGCCGCTTCCTGCAGCTCCCATTGGCCGGGAATGGCGAACTGCGGCCACTAGGAGCTGCACGGCCATACCTGCAGACGCTCAGGTAAGCAAAGCATCTCGCGGCCCTCCAGGGGCTTAACCTGAACAAGCCGTGAACTATCCCTGGGATAGAGGAAGGAAAGAGACCTGCTGGGTCACTGAGTCTATCACAACCAACCGAATAATATAATCCTGTTAATAAATTTATCAAACTGTCTTAAAAGTAGATAGGTTGTTTGCCCCCAAACCTAAGGTTACAGATATAAAGTCCTGCAGTTGTCTTTGTTAGTGTATGTTGACTAATCACAAGTGTTTACCACCATCATTGTTATTTATTACTTGTTTCTGGTAGAGCTCATGATGTGCTATGAGCTGTACAAACAGGAAGGAAAGTATGATATCTGCCTTGAAGACTTTACACTCTAGAAAGAAAAACTCAGAGAGATACAAGGTAGAGGAAAGGGATAATCACTTGGATTTGTTTTTAAAATTAGGCTAAAATTTGAAATGATTCTAGAAATGTATTTTTTTCTGCATTCTTTCGTTAATTCTGGTAATCTTGTATGTTAACTCTGGTAGTCTTTTTTGATTACATTTGATTAAAAGTATTTCAAAAAATTATTTGGATGTTTTGAAGAATTGTTTGCTGTCAGAAAGTAAGATTTAAAATTCACATTTTACAAAATGAATAGGAGAACAAAGGCTAGATCTAGTAGTTCATTTGAAAAAACAATTTATAATTACAATTGCTTACCTCTGTGTTTGGGTGGCATAACTGTTATCATATGCCTCATAGCTTGGGTCATCATATTCACCCCCATATCCATCATCATATCCCTATGGGAAAAATAATACACCCTATTTAGAAGATTGATAAATAAGGAAGTATATTAGGCTGCATAAATTATGTATTAATGTATAGATGCTATATTTGCACACAGGATTTTTTACATTATTATGCAGTCTCTTAGACCAGAATTATACACCTAAATGTGCTAACAATATGATGAAAGAGTAAAGAAATAAATTATTAATTTGAGAACGTAGTTTATCCATTGATATAATGCAGTGCACTGTTGAAGGAACAGCTTCTCAACCGGGTTCATTTAGAACACTGACAGATGCTAATGAAGACAATTGTTTTCTCAGGAATTCGATATTACAAAAGTTTTTGTAATTATTTATGGGTGAATAATAACCACTGAAATGAACAAATGGTGATAAAATATATTGATCTTAGAACACTGTTAAGAATGTTGTTATTGAGTATAAAACCATAGCATTTGGTCCTTTAAAAAAAATTGTCTAGGTCTGGGAAAGAAGCCACGATAATGATCATTCTAAATAATCTTTACAACAAACACCTTTAGCTTTATTGAGCATTCCAGGCTTTTTCACAGTGTTGACAATATGATTTTCTTTTACAAGTTCAATTACTAAAGTGATTTCAGTGATGAGAAAATGAAAGAAAGAAAGAAAGAAAGAAAGAAAGAAAGAAAGAAAGATTACTTAGCAATAACTGTGGACATTCACCCTTATGGGAAGCACCCACAGGAGCTATTGGGCTTCAGAAACCTTCCAGAAAAACAGTGCACCTTGGGACTGCACAAGCTTCACCCCCACAAAGCACCAAATGTTCAGAACCAAGGTTCTAATAGGCTGTGTGGTCCCCAAACATCTCAGTTCCTTCTGCTAAAGCCTAGAATCCTATAAGAGTAGAATTCCAAAGGAGAGAGAGGAAGATGGACAGGTATTGTGAATATATGGAACGAACACTTTCAAACAACTACATTTACTAGGAACTGACTGCATATTCTTTTTCTTATGTGGGATTCTAGCTATCAGTACAACACCTTGACTCCAGGAATGTGGGCTGATGAGTTGTAATTAATTTAGAACTGCACTCTCAAATTGATTGTCAGATGTAGATATCAAGTAAAGAGAGGGCGAGCCCTGATGAAGGTGTATATAGAGCACTAGATAGTAACCATGCAGATTTCTATAATGGCAACCTTACTGGGGATAAACCATCAAAGACACCATAGTTTTAGTAGAATGAGCCCTAAGACCTTCCAGTATGAATAGGCTAGCCAAAGTGTAATGTGTTTCAGTATGAACAATTCATTTTGAATGGCTCTGCATGGAAATAGTATTTCATTTACTCTGATCTCTAATAGATACAAAAAGTTTTGGTGACTTCCTAAATATCTTAGTATTATTCAAATAAAAAGAGAACTCTGCACTTTCCTAATATCCAGGTTATAGAACTAAATTTCCTAAGGTAAGAATGAAGTTTTGGAATGAAACCTGAGGTATTAATGGTCTGGTATAACACCAACCACATAAAATTACCCCAGAGAGCTCAAAAACTAAGCATTGGCTTCTAGTGAAGAATGTGAACCGCCAAAGATGCAGTTCCCTAGTCCTGTGAACTGTCTAGGTAAACTTCTGATCTGTCTTGGTGGTCGTGATGCTGAACCAGGCATCCCCAGAACACAGAATCAGATGACTCAGATACATCTTCTAGACCAGAAGGAGACCTTCATTGGATCCCTCTGTTGAGCAATGGGTACTGTGGTGGGGCAGTGCCCCACTTCCTAAGAAAAAGGGCTGAACCAGGCCTGAGAGGCTGCGCAGACCAGCAGCCAATCAGAGAAGGCCTGGGGAGAGCCAATCAGGGCAGGGAAAGAGGCAGCCAATCAGGGCCGGGGTAGGTCCTGTATAAAGGCTGCCTAGCAGAGAAGTCGGTCACTCCCTGACTAGAGAGGGTTAAGGACTGGCTCCTGAGCTAAGGAGCAGCACCTTGGACAGAGCAGTGCTGGGCAGGCTTCGGGGGAGCAGAGTGGAGCTCAGGTCCAGATACCTGCCAGGCTGCGGCCCTTGCTAGAAGGGGTCGAGAAGGTGCATAGGGTCAAAGGGGAAGTGGCTCAGGGAAACTAGGCAGAGGAGAGGGGAGAGAAGGAGGACAGAGGGAGGCTGCTGCTAGAGGGTCCCTGGGTTGGGACCCAGAGTAGTGGGTGGGCCTGGGCCTCCCCCCCTTCCCCTTTTGCACTGCCCCGGCCACTAAGGAGAGGGGCCAAGACAGGCCGCAACCGGCCCCTGAGACGAGGGCTAGACTCTAGGGTTGTGGTTGGCCACCGAGACAGGGACAAACAGAGGGACTGCTGTTAACAACGACCCCCCGGAAGGGGGTGAGACCAGAGTAGTGGGCACTGCCGGAGGGCAATGTCCTAAGGCAGATGGAGACTGTCCTGAGGAGGACACCGCCGAGCAGGGAGCAACGCGGGTCCCAGGGCAGGAGAACAGAGACAATGGGAGAGCTACCACACGGCAAGGACACCCCAGATTGGTCAAGAGCTAATTCCCGGAGCGACTGGCAGGGGGCAGTGGTGAGTCAAACCCCGTCACACATACCATATAGAAGATGTTAGTTCATCAATGTTACGTTCACAGCCTACACTCAGAGAAATTAGATAAAAACATAAATACCCTGCTGGATGGTTGCAATGTCACACTACTTTATTTTTTAGAATTCAGAATGATAACACACAAGAACCCAAAACACACAGAGAGAATACTGGCTGCTCCCTAAGTCAATGAAACTCAACTCACCCTACCTCGCATTAAGCTGGCTCTTTCATTACTGATTCTGATCGCACACTTTCCTACAGAGACCGCTTGCCGGCAAGCGTAACTAGGAAACCTGCTCTACAACCCTCAATACACCACAGTCAACACTGAGGGACTTGCACAGTCACCAAAGCAGGGAAGTCGGTCCTTGTGGAATCAGAAGGATTGATATCACTGGAAGGGCCAGAAGCTCCTTAAGAACCAAGAAAGCCAGAATCAAGATCAACCTAGAATCATGGCAATGATTCTTATTTCTCTTTTAGGAAAGCAGTGAGTCCCCTCTTACAGAGACCTTCTCTGAGTTCTACTTCCTCTTACCCTTATGACTGAGGGCAAAGGACCACAGAATGGAGGCTTCCACAAACATTGGGCCTGGGCAAGCCCCAGATATGAGGGAATAAGCTCAGTAGCAACAGTCTGCTAATCAAGAGGACTTCTTAGTGCTCTGACAGACTCCAGAACCAAAGAACCTGCAACTGCAGGGCCAGCTGGTTCCTGCCTGGGAGGGTCACCACTGGAGTCCCTACAGTGAAGGTATTCAAGCATTGACAGACAAAAATGCAGAATGACTTGTGGCACTGAAGCAGCCCAGGAATCAGAATCAAAATGTTCCGCCAACTTGGAGGCAGATGAAAAGGCTGCTCCTGGCAATGAAAGCTTCTGTTTCCTCATTTGTAAGGGCTTTGAAACAAATGAAAGCCTAATCTGTCCTTGGACAGATATGGGGCTCTGACCAGGAGATGATTCTGAGGTGCTGACTTATAGGACCTTAGTCATGAAGAAGGCTAGAAACCAAGCATGAACAGTGATTCCTAGGTAATGGTGTTCCTCAAGGTAGCACACATGTTCAGCCAACTCCAGGAATATGGAAAAGATATGAAACACGCTACTGAAGTCTGGTCGTTTGGAGTAGTTATGATGGCCTGGAACTTAACTAGAGAAAATGTGGGAACCTAAATGGTGTAACAGCATAGAAAGAATTTAAAATTCCTGTACCTACCTAAAAGCTTTCAATCTTTACCTAAAATTTCTAAACTATAACAAAATAACTGGAGATTTTTGGTTAAAAAAACAAGAAACTTTTTCTAGGCATAGAGAAAAAGTTCCTACACCCACAGCTAGACATGAAAAGAAGGGACTGGATTAACTAGGGGAAGATTATTTTATATTGGAACCTTATTAGTTATCCTCTTGATTTCAATTAATCACTTTGAAGGAAGAAGCTGCAAACTGTCTTCTCAGCATAACAGACTACAACAAGCAAATCAAACCTGTCCTCTGCTCTCCACTCTGTCTTCCCATAGAATATTGAGTCAAGTTCAAGGTCTTGGTCCTCTCACCTTTAGATGTCCAGTGGTCTGGACAAGCATATCTAAAAGATCACCTAAAACTCTGAGATTGAAGACTCTGGCTGACAACTCTACTTCTCAGAAGTTTCTACAGTAAGGTTGAAGCTTGTCTGTTCAGGATATTGAATTTTCTCAGGGGAAGATACAAGACTATGGAACAAACTCACAGCAATTAGATACTATAACAAACCTCACCACCTTGCACTTCAAGTGCACTTTTTTTCAACCCGCCTTTTCTAATATAAACACAGAGCAACATGTACATGTAAATGCCCCCTGCAAAATAAATAAATAAATAAATAATATGAAAACCGATCAAAACAAAACATTACATTGCACCCACAATTCTCCCTCTGAGAAGAGGATGAGAGAAAGAATGAACCACATGTGACAGACATTAGTCACATTGCTTAATGCATTACAGAAGACACTGAGATACTACAGTGATGAGGGCAGTATAAGAACCTATATAAAATAGAATAGATAAAGGAAAGCATCTCAGTGCACTTGCCCACTGTATTAGAGGAAAGGTAAGGGAACAAATTATCTTACACTAATGCCTCAGGTGGATCAATGCTCAGCACCAGTAGAACAAAGAACAGTTGTTAATACTTGACACTTCTGTAAGTTCAAGTTACAGATTTGAACAGTCTCCCTAAAGGCTCAGAGTATATCAATATGGTGCAGATGGTTCAAATAGAACAACTGGAGAATAAAACGTGTAAAGCTCAAACAATTCAAAAATAATATTTCTGGTTCAAGATTCTCTCTCTATCGCATGCTATTTTTTTGGAAGTGAATTCTCACTTATTAACACACGTGTAACACATTATTAGCACAATTTCAAATAATTAAGTA